GTCACAAACAGAACTGCCCGGTAAAACCGTAGGCAGAGAGAGAGAAGAGGACAACAAACGAGGGGCTGTGACAAACTGTTTCGTCGGAGTTTCACCGACTCATATCGTCACATATATATCTATATATATATCGTATATATATATATATTTTACGATATATATATATATATATAAGGCCGGGCAAATGGCCCTGCACAACTCTGGTAGCCTAGCATTCCACACACACACACACACGGCCCATTCTGGGGGGTGTCAGTCGGGTTGCTCCTTTTTAGTATGCGAGTTTGACAGCAGAAGAAAGGAGAAAGAAAGACAGTAGTCCTCCCTCCACCACTCAACATTCTACCAGCATTAGAATGTCATTCTCAACCAGGTGCATTTGGAGGATTCCAGCATTAGTCCAGCACTTTGAATGTATCAGGACGATGAAGAGCTCCAGATACATTTAGAGCATTCTGTAAAGGTCAAAGACCCAGAGGGGTAAAGAAGAAAAACGGACAGGGCCAGGATAGAACGAACAAAGAAGGAGAACGAATGGAGCATGTCTGTGCATGGCGTGTTGAACAAAAACAAAAACAAAAACAAAAACAAAAACAAAAACAAAAACAAAAAAAACAAAAGCAACAAAAGCTTCAAAAAGTTCAAAAACATTGACTTGTATTTTTCCCTTGGGCAGTGGGCCTCAAATAATAAAGGGCTTTCTTTTTTCCTTTTTATACGGGAAAAAAAAGAAAGAAGATTTTGCAAAATTTCAATGCTCTTTTTTTTTTTTAAACTTATAATAAGAATGTTGATTTCAATGGTCTTAAATTCAAATGCAAATGAGAAGATGTGTTTATTTGTGTTCTGCCCCTCAAACAGCAGCCTCACAAACACATGCCCCTACGACCTGGGAAATGTCCGTCAGGCCCCTGTCCAAGGACATCACAACTTTGCCACATGCCAGGCACCGGTAGGGGTAAATATCAAATTCCCATACAAGCTCCAAATCCTCATCCCCATCCCATCATGTTCCTTCCTGAGGCTCACCGCCATCAGGCCAAGCGGACTCCCTCTCCCTCCCCCCCCTCCTCCTCTCCCCCCCTCCTCCTCCTCTCCCCCCCTCTCCCCCCCCCTCTCCCTTTTCAGAGGGACAAAGAGCAAGTAATGTAATTATGTAAGCTAGGCTGCAATGCTGGAGAGAGTATAAGAGGAGGAGGAGGGGAAGAGGGAAAGAGGGGTGGGATTCTGAAGCGAGAGTCAGGAGTTAGGGCCCTTGGGGGTAGTTGTGCAAAAAAAAGGGGTGAATGGGATTAGGGTCTGACTCAGCAAAGCAATAGATTACCGGAAGGAGGGGTATGTCAGAAAGGAGAGGTACAGGGCCCCTCAAAACTCTTGAAAGGTAATAATAGGACACTGTACCCTCTTTTCCAGCAGCTGATGCTGGCCAGCAATAGACTGCAGCCATCTACCCAGGCAAGACCTCAATCCCAGGGATGCCCTCACCACCCGGGACAGGGGGATAGATCTATGAGAGCCCTTGCGGTATGATGTTACGTAAAAAAAAAAAAAAAAAAAAAAAAAAAGGAAAATTAATTTAAATAAACCAGAACACAAAAGAGGGCTGAAAGGAGAAAAATAGAATAATTTAAATCAGAAGCTGCAATAATGGAAGAAGAAGTAATGGGGATTGAGCAGCCAAAATGAACCTTCAACGAAAGTTCCAATCAATCAAGAGACAATCAAAGGAACACTGGTGTGCAACCCGTGCCCCACCCTCCCCCCTTACTTCCCAAAAAGAGGGTTACCCCGAGTCCATGCTATGCCTCCTCCTCTCCCCTTTCCTTTCATTCCCTTCCCTTCTCTCTGCCTCCCTCTGCACCTCCCCTCTTCCCCCGGTGCCCCCCCCCCCCCCCCCCCCCCCCCCCCCCCCCCCCCCCCCCGTGCCCCGACCACGCGACTTCCCAAAAAGGGACAAAGGTTCAGCCGAGTTCCTGCTGAGTCCTGCTTATTTAGGGACTTGCTCCGCCATTGACTACAATTTCATACAGAAACCGCAAAAATAATTATGGTCGTGTATCTTTCCATGTTCCAGCTGAAGATTCATTCTCATTTTTCTTTACACATTGTGACATTGGTGAGTGCTGCAGCGAGGCGCTTACCCATTTGAAATTGTGCCTGTGCATACCCCTTTTCCGCGCTCTGACGGTACCATCCCAACGCCAAGGATTTGTCTCGAGCAGCACGCACCTCATAGTATTGACCTGTCGTACAGGGGAAGCCAGAGGAAAAAAAAAAAACAACGTCGTCTTAGGAGAGACAGGAACAGGTGCTACTCAGGTCAGATTCACTGGCATATGGCATTTGCACACTACCGTAGCACTTTCCTAAGTGTATTGACTGCTGTTACCGCTGGATCAGGCGGACCTGAATGAATATGACCGTAATCACGTCCGGATACAAGCAGAAAAAAAAGTCCTCGTGTGAGTACTATGGTCTCGTGCTTGTTTACGATGTGAGTGTCGTTTTTTTTTTCCCCCTTTAAAAACTAATTTATTGAATTTTATTGTGTTCATTAAACTTCATTTGATCACATTTGGAGTCGTATTTGGGTACTTGGGTGTCACGTTCCTGTAAGCAGTACATAGGCATAGCACAGGAACCATCTTTTCTTTTCTTTTTTCTTTTTTTCTTTTTTTTAGCACAGCTGCACAGGACAAACTTAACCATGGAGAGAAACAAAAGTGACAATGCAGCGGAAGACTGAAAGCACAGATCTGACGGCTCAGGACTCAGGACAAGATGCATACATCCATCATCACTCGAAAACAGGGATGGGCAGGGCAATGCAAACATGGAAGAGTATCCGCCATCATGATGGCCCATACACATCTGCATCCAGTGCCGTCCACAGATGAAGTAGATGGAGGAAAGAGGATGAGAGGAGAAGAGGGGGGAGACTGCAACACAATAGCCCTGCGAGGCTGCGAAAGAATAGTCCGCACAGTAGTCCCCCAACGTCTAAGTCAAGAGTACAATGTCTGTCTGATTCAGGGCATAGCCCCTGTCTCTTATACACATCTAGAGGGGGGGGGGGGACATGTGGGGAGGGGTGCGAAGGCAAGAGGAAGCGAAGGAAGGCGAGAGAGGGGGTGCAAGGTGAAGCGAGGGGAGGGAAGACAGAGGAGGAAGGGGAGGAACAGGGAGGGAGGGGAGCGGAGGTGTCAATGATGCCTTGTGTGTGTGTGTGTGTGTGTGTGTGTGTGTGTGTGTGTGTGTGTGTGCCCTCACCAGATTGCATTGCGCTTCCGTAAGCCCCTGTTTTGCAGCTTGACGGTAAAGCTTCACGCCGCGGGCCTTGTCCACATCCACCCCTTTCCCTTTGCAATAGAATGAGCCTGTCATAAGCATAGCAAGCAGGAAAGAGGGTAATTTAAGTTAGACAGAGCTGACCTCAAGCTGACTTCACATAAAAAAAAATCAGTGCAACATCAACTTGAAGTTGACTTCACATCAAATTGGCAGAATGCCTCGGCACACGCACCATAAAAAATTGGAAAATTCAACTACCTTCTTCCCCCGAATACAACGTACGGTAATTATTATAGCTGTATTTGGGGTATCTTTCAGTCTAAATACAGCCATAATGACCGTACGTTGTATTCGGGGGAAGAAGGTAGTATGCAATTATGGCAGAGGGCGCGGCTTCTCCACAACCAAAATTTATCGGACTGCCGGCCGAAGCTTGAAACTCTGCTCAGAGAGTTGTGCTGTGCCACGGCGTGGGAGCCTTGCTTCTTCCTATATACAGCAAGCACACATGAATTATTAAAAAAAAAAAAAAAAAAAAAAAAAACACCAAAAAATTAAAAAAAAAAAAAAAAAAAAAAAAAAAAAAA